CATACTAAACAATAGCATGTTCCTATTATATGTGCATGAATCTTAGAGTCATGTAAAGTAATCACGTACATATAACTAATAATAAAGACATTTAAAAGTGGATTATACAAATAGCTAGAGATATATATACATATACATATTAATATGCATGGGATAGAATTAGGATAACAAACCACATATCTCGACTAATTTTCTTCTTTTAAAAAGCATTTTTTGTATTTTTTTCTAGACAAAAACCAAATATCATGATTGTCTCTTTTCAGCGTATTAAAGCTAAGTAGTGAAATTGATCTGAATACTCATTTCATCCCTTAAAGAGATTGTTAGCTTGAATAAAACGCACTTTAAAGAATATACGAAATTCCAAATATTATTTTTTTCCTTTGTCTCCCTAAACTACCAAATTTACTTAAGGTAAGTGTTAACGTAGAGTACATTGTTTTTTATTATTTGATACAGTAGAGTCATTATTATTTGACTGTAGTAGAATAAATCGTTAAGATTTCTTTTATCCAATAAGAAAATATAATTTTATATAGAGTCTTCCATAAAAGAATACAAAACGTTCTTTAAGATATGCGGAGGTGGTGCTAGTACATGCAACTTCTTTTTATTCTTTATATTTAATTAGAAGCGTTTCTAATTAAATATATTTTTTTTTTCTGTTAAACATTTAGTCTATCACCACCGAAATAAATCACCTCCTAAAACCCACCACAAGTTGTCGCAAAGCCTTTTTATATATCCTCAAGTTTTTCTATGCCGAACTTGTGGATATATAAAAACAGACTCACTAATCATATACCAATTATGCACATTAGTCACTCTTAATTTACTTGATTAACTTGTAAATTTATTTACAACACTAAGGCATGTGATACTCAAACGGCTAATTTTGTTACTGCAGGGAATTATGCACATGATCAATTATAACACATGCGATTTGATGCATTTTTAAAATTAAGAGGGACTACAATAACAATATTCAAGCCTTATTCTCAAAAGATTTTGGCGTCGGCTAAATCATAACTGCCCCTGCTCGGTGCGTATGATGTAGATGACCCCGTAATCTTTTGGAAATAAGGCTTGAATATTGTGGTAGTTACTCTTAATTTAAAAATGCATCAAATCACATGTGTTATGTGTTGGGTGTGTTTCGGAAAATAAAGAAAAATAATTAAAATAAATTAATTAAAATGACGAAAGAGAACAGAAATAAGATGGAGCAGAAATTAGTCAAAGCTCGTGCTACGCACGATGTCCTTAAAACGTATTTGTTGTCTCCCACGGTGCTAGGAGCGTTGCAACAATCGTTTCCCAGGATACGATGACTACGAACAATCGTTTGAGCACTCAAACGAATTGTCCCGGCGAACGAGAACAAGTCTGAACACAGGAATTTTCAGAGGTTGCTGGAGGTGTTTTTTAGCTGAAGAAATACGTGAGCTAGTGTGTAAGAACGTATAAGATCGTGTGTTGATGCAAACCACCTGTCACCCATTATATAGGAGGATTCGTTGTGTGCAAATGGTGAATTAATGGACCTGAACGTTGGACATCAATGATCAGTCCGTTGGGCATTGAATCGTCTATGAACTGTCCATTTAACGCTGCATTAAAAGATAAGAACGTTGGGCATTTATTGCTGTAACGGACAGAACAGAACACCCCGAGGTGTTCTGTCCGAGCTTCGCAACAGAGGACCCCTAGGCCTTCTGTCCGCAACAGAAGACCCCTAGGCCTTCAGTCCCGTGTCGAGCAGTTCTGTTGCGCCGAAGACGTGTTCTGTCTGGGCAGCAGTTTTGGGAGAGATAGATTTTTTGAAGACATTTGTGTCCGCAGGTCGCCCGCGCACGCAAGTCGCTGTTTTTCTTCTCCGATTTCGGGATTTGATTTGCACCCCCCTGCGCGCGTGGAGAGAGCCTTTACCCTTAGGAATCTTAACTCCTTAAGGGGGGAGTCCCTTTATAAAGGGTTGCAAATCCCTTGGGTTTTTCGGTGTAGGAAATAACACACTAGAAACCCATTCTTTTTCTCAGTTTTTCCATTCTAACGGGTAAACTTCGAGAATCAATTTCTCATTCACCCGTTATCCGTTTTGAGCGTACCACATATCGAATTGTAGACCTTAACAAGAACAATCCGAAACCACTTTGACCTGACCCAAATCGGAAGTGGACCCCACTCAAAAAATTGCCCCAAAATTACCATTTAATCCAATTTTTCACACATTTTTCCAACATTATGATTAATCATGTGCACAATACCCTGAAGTAACAACTTTAGCTGTTTGAGAATCACATGCCTTATTGTTATGAATAAATTTACAAGTAAATTTATCAAAGTCTCTAAATAAAAAAAAACTAAACTTTTTTAATTTATCCAGTAGTTAATTATGTTCTTCCCGGGTGTTATGTAATATGAGAATAATTAATTATTCATAGGATTATTGTGACGGTTTAACTTAGAGGTGTAAATTGTTAGAGTTTTACATTCGTGATGCCCTAATGTAAAATTAGAGTTAGACAATACCTGTTTGAGAGATAATTCACTCTTTCGCTCCTATGACTTCTATAGAAATTTGGTATATGTAATACTATATTTATAAAATCTTGAAGAATGTGGGTGTAATCTTTTTCAATTTTCTTCTAAAAAATGATACTTCCGTATACAAATATATTGCCTTTTGAGAACTAAAGAAATAGCAAAATTACTTTTATCCATGTTTATTTACACTTTTTGTACACATTGATTGCATCGGGTCATCGAACAATCATTTTGTCTGAATTGTCAAACAACTCTTGTATTGTGAAGAGACATATTTAAAAAGTTTATAAATTGTTTACACATCAAACTATTCTTTGAGAAGACACTAGATTATCTCTATTAAATGCTAATTGTTTGTGGCAAGACATTAATTATGTATTACAAGACACTAGTCGTTGTACTATATTATCAACATACTTGTGTTCCATTTGAAGAGGCGATACGGGTGCCGCGCAGTGATGTTGGAAACAGTGGCAGCTGTTCCCGGTCTCGTAGGAGGGCTTCTTTTGCACCTTAGGTCTCTCCGTAAGTTTGAGCAGAGCGGGGGGTGGATCAAAGCATTACTTGAGGAAGCCGAGAACGAGAGGATGCACCTGATGACAATGGTGGAGCTTGTGCAGCCGAAGTGGTATGAGCGGTTGCTGGTTCTTGCAGTCCAGGGAGTGTTCTTCAACTGTTTCTTTCTGCTCTACCTCTCTTCATCCAAAGTGGCACACAGAATCGTGGGGTACTTGGAAGAGGAGGCCATACATTCGTACACAGAGTTCCTTAAAGATATAGAGAGCGGGAAGATTGAGAACGTTCCTGCTCCTGCCATTGCAATAGACTATTGGAGGCTGCCAAAGGATGCAACTTTAAAGGATGTTATTACCGTCATTCGTGCCGACGAAGCACATCATAGAGATGTCAACCACTTTGCTTCTGTAAGCATGAATGCATCATTTTGGTTTTCTGGGTTTTAGTAGTTTCAATCGATGTGATGGTGATTGATATTTTATTCTTTGAATTTATGTGCATGCAGGATATACGTTTTCAAGGGAAAGAGTTGAAGGAGGCACCAGCTCCTCTTGGTTACCATTGAATATACTACGGAGTACATAACATATATAAATGCATAAGCACATAATGTATTCATTTCTCTTGTAGCTGAATGCATATATGACACGCTTCTTGTGACTATGTGTCGCTCTACATTCTAAATAAAGCATTCCCGCCTACTTAAGAAAATCACCCTTAGGGAGATCCGGAGCTTTAGGAATATATGTCATTTGGATTGCTATATTCTACTATCTCACGTAAGATTCTCGAGGAATATGTCATGTTTACTGTACGTATACTTCTAGCCTCATACGAGAAGACTGTATACCCCTTATCACAAAAACAACCTAGTGGTGTGTCTTGCACATAATTATGCAAGATGTATATTTTCTCTCCATACTTTTCATGTATACCATTACTTAAAGTGGAATAAACTAGAATAAATAATAATGGCATCTTCCTATTAAAGGACGTGGGGTGAAAGCCATTTGTTGTCACGTGATACCAGGAAGCGATGCTTTCTTTCTTCCCTCTATTTTGGAATATTTCACTAAATAGGAGTGAAAGATATATACTTTTCCTAAATAAGAGGTTATGTCTTTTATTCCTAAATACGAATAAACTAGTGTCATCGATCTTCAAACCATACTATCATACTCATACTAACTTTATACTGTTATCGTTATACTATCATAGTTATATCTTATAGATTTAAGATGACAATATTTATGTTTATTTAGGGGAAAACATGATACTTCTATTTGGAGAAATCACTTATGTTACACTTCTATTCAGCATGTTATTTAGGGAGAAACAAGATATCGATATTTGGAGAAAACACTTGTATACTTCTATTTAGGCAATTTTTCCATCAAATATCTCACATACTTACTAATCAAAATCATTCTAAAAGAGCACTTTATTTGCCTAATCAATAGAAACCCAATTATTTGGTGAACTAAAAAAAACTAGCTTGTGGTGAAGTTGTGACCACTATGAGATGCATCGATATGTGAGATGATGGTGCTCTGTATTTGCGTCTCTAAAACTCCATTATTTGTTGCTTTAGATAATCAACACTCTTAAATGAAATTTATATACAATATAATGTTTGTCAAATAACCAAGCACTCCAGCCTAGCTGGTTGCGAGGTTACTGTGCCTAGTGGGAGGTCTCGAGTTCGAATCCCGCTAGGCACACAAGGGTTTGAAACTCAATGGAGTGAGTTTCAGCCATGATTACTCCAAGCTCCCCCCAGCCCCTCTCCCCCAGACCCCCCATGGAGTAAAAAAAATAATGTTTGTCAAATATGTGTTCTAGTTTCTTCACATTCCTCTATTGACATCGTAAAATTTCTCATTTGTTCATACAATCTCCCATATTGAATCATACTTTTCATAATTTATATGCAATTTTTAAAGAAGACTTAATTATTATTAATAACGAGAGTAACAAGAGACAAAGCAATACAATAATTCAAGGTTACACTGGGGTGAGACATAAAACTGATCAGCCTTTGAAGACATGTCAAATTCGCTAACCCTGCATCATTATAGTCTAATCTAACATTATTGCTGAACTTGCTACTAAAATTAGAGATTACTAAACAAGAATTCTTTAAATAAAAATAAGAAAATAAATCAAGCGTCCCAATTTTACCAGCCACCAAAAAGGGAGAAGAGGTTTGTCCAATCACCTCCAAAGGAAGCATCCCCATTTCACCAGCCACCTGGAAGGAAGAGGAGGTTTGTCCATCCACCTCAAAAAGAAGCATCCCGATTTTACCAGCCATCGGAAAGGGAGAAAAGGTTTGACCAGTCATCTCCAAATTAAAGGAATCGTCTTGTGTACGGAACCTATCAGTACTTTAGGCGGTGCTATCCGGGGAGCACTGTTGCGTTGTCGTTTTGTGTTCCCCCACCATCAAACTCCTCGAATGACCTCCTTCCATAAGCCTAATTTAAGCTCTCCATTACTGGTTAACAAAACGATTGTCGAAACTGAGACATAGAAAAAGAAGCAACGAGACTCACGATCAAAAGCACAAACACGTTCACAATTGGAATGGACCAAACCCTCAGCCAGAGAAAACTCATCTGGACAAACCCTCGGCCCGAGTAGAACTCTGCCGGACAACATGTAGATAGCAACCAAGATCCACGAGAATTAAGAAACGCATCAGAAGAAAAAACAATGAAATCTGGCAACGCGGAGTGCTCAAAGACCGTGACGGAAGGCCTCCTCCCTACTCACCAATCGATTGAACTCGGTATGTACTATGTCGCCCAAGGTTGGAATTTGCTGCTAGGGTTTACCAGAATCATTTGTTATGCGAAACGGATCAATCATTTTAATTCTCTCTAGTCTTTGGAGGATATAAGTAGTTCTATCGACACTTACTTATGCATTCTCCATTCGCGTTCGCCCTCATTGAATCGTAGTGCTCTCGTTGTTATGATATCTCCAGGTCTAGCATAAGTCTGTTGAGTAGAATCACTTTCACCACTGTCTTAGAGTTCATAATTTATATGATAAGAAGTATTAGATTTGAAATTGCCAAAGTATCTCTAAAAATTTCTTATTGTGACTGCTTTGTTCACAAGGTACCTTTTCCTAGTTTTAGCCCATTTGAAATTTTGGTCAAATATGAGAAGAAATTTTAGTTACAACGTGTTATGTAGGCTTGGTAGTATGAACTCAGAAAGGAGTCAACATAAAGGTGTAAAGTGTAAACACATGCATGTGAACTCAATCAACATTGGCCCCACCTAGCCTGAGCTCATTCACTAATTGGATCTGAGCTCATCTGGACATTTGAGAGTTCGCTCAACCTGACCCATGTCTTGGATGTAGAAACTCTCTACATCATTGTTAGATTGGAAATCTAACTACCACAAATGTTCAAGAATAAGCATGTAATTGTTAACACAATTCCAAACATTTTAAGAGAGTGTTTGCGATCATTTCCATTTTTAAGAAAGATATGTTAAAAATTGTTTTAAAGAAATTGTTTAATAGTAAAAAAGTTGAAAGTGTTTGAAAAAAGTATCTTTGAAATAGTTAAGTTGGTCGTGTTTAAAAAAGTACTTTTTTAATACTAGAAAAAATGAAAAACAATTTAAAATGCTTCAACTTTAAACTGCTTAATCTAAGTCAAAGGTGTAACTTGGAAACACCAAATTCATCATTTTTTAGGAAAAGCTGAAAAGTTTATTTTCAACTGTTGCAAACACTCATAATTGTAACTAGGTGTACCTCACTCTCACATTTTCCACCTCTCATCATAGTCATCTCATATTACTCTCTTCATCTTTCCTCACATAAAAACAGTGGCCCCTTTAATCCTCGTGCCCCCCCTCTACACATAGAGGTAGACTGGATCTTAGATCGGTGAAGACTCAGGCCTACATTGATTTTGTTTTATACCGAGTAGTTATAACTCCGTCTCAAATTAATCTTCCATTTCCATTTTGGTAAAGAATTTGTGGTTCACAATATTTCTTACACAATCTTACACATTTCTCTTTCTTCTACACAATTCTCCACAACACAATGTTCACTATCTTAATCCTCGTGCTAATTGTAATTTTGAAGATAGTTTATGGGACATAGAGAGTATACACCTTAAAATTAGGTGCACACTAAAAAAACTAGTACTCCGTATACGTGAGAAGTGCCCAGTAGTTTGAAGGCCCACAATAAAATAAAAAAGATCTAAACATGTGAGCAAGTGCGTTAAGCAGTTGTCGGTCTGGCGCCTCTCTTCGTCTACCGATATGAGTGTACATTGTACACCCGGTTGTACAATGCTCATTATACAACCATATATTTTATATTATGCTTAATGAGTATAATGTTTGAAAAAAATGCTTATTGGTATCAAATCATTGTATTAGTAGCACAATTGAGTATCATGATCCATGCGTAATATATATGTTACAAATCAACTTATTCATTTACTTATAATATCTTTGTATTGTCATCAAAATATTCCTTGTGCTAATTTTATCATTTAATACTCAACAAGTGTTGAACCCGGGTGTTGCCCGAGTGGTGTTTGTACTTCTCATATGTGATTTTATTTTATAAATATAAATGATTTTTAATGTTTATATATTTGGGTAATCATGAGTGACTGACAGAATTAGTGAAACCCCCTCTTGATATACAAATTATGCACATGATCTCATCGTGATCCAAACAATATTTTCCAAATTGCATATATTACAATTAATCACACATTTCATACTCTAAATCAAAATTACAAATCTTATCCGACAAAATATATGTCTAAGGGCTAAGTAACTTGCACACACACACACACACACACACACACACACACACACACACACACACATATATATATATATAGAGAGAGAGAGAGAGCGAAAAGGAGCAAATAAGCCCTCGAACTATTTGCAATTATGCAATCAGGCCCATGAACTTGAAGAATTGCAGATACACCCCTCAACTCATTGAAAATGATGCAATCAGGTCCCTTTTACCTGCTGGTGCCGGTAATATTTCATCTTCTTACCCCCCACCAACAGGTAAAAAAGGATCTGATTGCATCATTTTCAATTAGTTGAGGGGTGTATCTGCAATTCTTCAAGTTCAGGGGCCTGATTGCAAAAAGTTGGAGGGCTTATTTGCCTCTTCTCTCTCTCTCTCTCTCTCTCTCTCTCTCTCTCTCTCTCTCTCTCTATATATATATATATATATAGGGTAGTTCACATCAGGAGTTCCTGATGAGAAGCCCCGTGCGGACAAGACCATCAGAGGGTCTTCCCGGTGGAATTTTTTGATGAAATTTTTGAGCATGTTCTTCATCAAGTCTAGCTAGTTTGTCCATACCAAATTTCAGCTCAAAATTCGATCGGGAAGGCAGTCAAATAAATACTGGAAACATACTGCACTTTATATGTGCGCAGAATGAGCCATAGTTTTCCAGGATTTATTTGACTGCTTTCCCGATCGAATTTTGAGCTGAAATTTTGTATGGACAAACTAGACTTGATGAGGAACATGCTCAAAAAATTTCATCAAAAAATTCCACCGGGAAGACCCTCTAATGGGCTTGTCCGCACGGGGCTTCTCTTCAGGAGCTCCTGATAGGAACGGGACTCTATATATATATATATATATATAGGAAAAACTTCCGGTAAGGTATACCTTACCGGAGCCGCCGTGCGGCCTCCACGTTTTGAGGTCCTTCCCGGTGGAATTTTTCGATGAAATTTTTTGAGCATGTTCTTCATCAAATCTATTACATCCATACCAAATTTCAGCAAAAAATGCAATCGGGAAGGCAGTCAAACGATTTTTGGAAGATAACTGCGTTTTATATGTATATAAAGGTTGCAGTTATCTTCCAAAAATCATTTGACTGCCTTCCCGATTGAATTTTTTGCTGAAATTTGGTATGGATATACTAGACTTGATGAAGAACATGCTCAAAAAATTTCATCGAAAAAATCCACCGGGAAGACCCTCAAATTGTGGAGGCCGCACGGCGGCTCCGGTAAGGTATACCTTACCGGAAGAGTTCCCTATATATATATATATATATATATATATATATAATTGTCTAGATATCTAAATGTTAAAATTGCTAAGGATTTTTGTTTGTTCAACCATAAATTTTGTTATTAGAGAGTAACAAATTATTGACTCATCACTAAATATGACACTTAGATGTACTTTTTGAATTATATGCATATGAGGATAACACGCATAACCTACATATTAAAGAGATTTCGCACAATAAACCTAAGCATATGAAAATTTAGATTGATCATTTTTCATTTCGGCCCATTAAGAATCATAGAAGTACATAATGAATTGAGTATTTATAATCAGTCTTTTATCGTTGCTTTTCAAATGGTTTGTGCCCGCTTCATTTAAAATCCATATATTTGATCATTACTCAATTTAAATATACTTCAATTCTTTAATAAGTGCAAAGTCATCAATCACATCATAACTTGTATGTATAGAATACATATCGTGAACATTTATCCTATATATGATTGCAGAATCGTGAATATCTATTTATTTCAAAATGTAATTCACAATGCTGAGAGTAAGAAGTTTGGTAACTTTAATGCCCACTTGGTGATCAAGACCTTTTTACTTATGAAATTACCTCATGAATTTAAGATTTTTAATTTTTAAGAATTGTGAGTTGACTTTATCATATTAAACATATTAGTGAAAAATATGATTCATAGAGAAGAAGTTTTTTTTTTAAATAGTTTTTAGGCTAGCTAATACTTGATATATAGTGAAACAAGTTCTAGTACTATTATAGAACAACTTCTTTTTTTGGCTCCGATATCATGGATCAATTCATGTTAGTCAACCTAAAAATCTTTTGAGAATAAGACTTGGATGTTGTTGTTGTGTAAAATTCACGGTGAGATTTCAAACATCACATGAAATCAAACTCAATAAAATAACATGATTAATAATTGGAAGTAGTACTGCAGCTTTTTTTGGAAGAAGGTGACTTATAATAATAAGAATGAACGTAAGCAGGTTACAACCAGACAAAGAGCCCACTGTCTACCGTATGCCCTTGAACCAGACTTAAAACTTGCCACCTCAAAAAAAGCAATTAGATTCTCTGATCCTGAATTGGGCATACCTGAGCCAATGACTGGTAAAGTAGGCTCCCCATCACCTGTCCTATGTTCTAGAGTTGAAAAAAAATAAAAATAATAGCAAACAAGAACATACGATGTCCAAGAGAAAAACCAACATAAAGAAAAACGAGTCTAGAGTAAAAAATAACCCCAATATGCCAGAAGCACACGATCTTCACAGGTTTAGGCGGGTCTGAGTGCTCCAGCCCGCCCCTTCCCTGTTTTTTATCCATCCAGAGCCATAACGTCCTCCCCTAATTGCTCCTGCTCCTGCTCCTGTACATCCCAGGTCTGCCTCCGCTTCTGTTCTCCCATTCCGTTTCTATTTATTCTAGCCCCCTCAAGTTTTGCCTCCTCCCTCCTTCCTGGAACTCGCCCTTCATGTGACTGATCCTTCATTTCTTTAAGATTTCTTTGCCTCCCTGCTTGGTCTCTTCCTACCCCTCCTTCACTCACCAACCATTGACTACCCATAGAAGGACAGGATCTCCCTCCACCCGCCCGCAACCATGGTCCAAAAGATTTCACAACCGCCTTATCCCCAATTTCATACAGCAGGGGACAAAATTTTCCAGCATGTCCAATTATGCCGCACGCAAAACAAAAGCTAGGCAGTTTCTCGTACTTGAAATCTGCCCAATAACCTTCCCCCTTGCTCTTTTTTTTGGGTCGTCCCCACTTTTAGGGGTTTCCTCACATCCAGCATCACCCTAACCCTCATGTAGGCTTCCCGCTTCTCAACAAATTGATTATCATCCCAAGAAATAAATTTCCCTAGATGATTCCCAATTTTACGAGCATAACCCAAGTTTGAATAACCATAGGAGATATTGTGAATCTGCACCCAAAAATCAGTCGTATGGAGAGGTACCTTTAGAGGCATATCCCCTAGCTTAATGACTTTTAACACTAACAGGTTCTGATGAAACAACCAAGGTCCATTATCCAACACACGATTCATATCGATTATGTGATAAAGTGTAAACAGATACCTCTTCTCCCCAATGTCTTGAATCAGTATGCTTTGCCCGGACGCCACACAGACTATATCAGATCGTGGAAGACTTGGAATTTGACCAATTTATCCGTTAGAATCATTCCAACCATAGGAAAGGTGTCCACCACTTTTTCCGCCGCCTTGGGATCGAGCTCCGCCTCATCCCCGTCGTCCAACAATAGCTCATCCTTCGAACTGCCTAAACCCATCCCATCGTACTGCACAATCAGCTTCTCCACAATCCCTACCCCCATAGCCGCGGAAAACTCGTCATCCTCGCCATGGTGCCCTCCGATCGACTGTGAGGAGACGACGTCTTCCCACTCCTGCTCTTTCCTCTGCGATATCAGCGCCGACGAATTCATCTGCAAAGCCTTCTCTCTGTTCCCGCTTCGATTTCCTTCGCTCGCCATTCGTCTGTACCGCACAAAATCGGCGAAGGTCTCAAGCCCTACGCTGAGGGAAGGCCGCTTTTTTTAATTAAGTAGTACTATATCTTTAAAGTTGCATGTTGGTCTTAATAAAACTACATGCAAAGGAAAATAGTTTTAATTATTTATAAGTGTAGATGAGGAGGTATATGTTTTGAAAAATAAAAAAGAACGACAATTCAATCCAAAACATGCTTAGGATGTTTTCTTTTGGACTGTTTTCAGTCCCAGACCAGACCAGATCAGACCAGACTTAAATAGACCAGACCAGACCAGACTTAAACAGACCAGACCAGACCAGACTTGGATAGTTATAAAATACACAGAGACCAGACTGATGGACAGTGTACCTAGGGGGTAGCTTGTCCGAAGGGTTATTGCGGGAATAACCTAGAGAGAAGTCAGAGCAAACAAGTAGGAGAGAGAGGCGATTATATTTATGAACTCGAGATGTGTTGGGTCTTTACAAGAGGAATAAGGGCTGCTATTTATAGCAGCAATAAATGCGATGATCGTACACGTGTTAGTAATCCAACGGCCGAGGGGTCACCTCAATCGGGGTGGCACCGGCAATCGCACGTTCACCGCATTAAATGCGGTGGTTGGCTGTCTCCAAAGGGAATCTTCGATGATTGAGTCTGTTTAGCCGAAGGCTCTTCACGTAGCCGAGGGCTTCGCGTGAACGAAGGCCCTGTGTAGCCGAAGGCTTGGTTCAGCCGAGGGCTCCCCTGGTGCCGAGGGCTCCATAGAAACGAAGACTCCTGTTTTTTGCCGTTTTCTCCCAGTAGCTTCGTATGCTCAAATCTGGCTGCCCTGTGTATTTTGGAGCCTTCGGCCAAGGAGGCCGAAGGCACCCCAGTGTGTATTTTGGGCTTCTTTGAGACTTGGGCCGCTGCATTTGGGCCTCGAATGCTCCTTAGGCCCAATGGGCCTGTGTAGGAGAGGTAGGAGTCAATGGGCCGGGGGTCCCTGGGCCATATACTCCATCACAGACGTTTACCATTTCAGACCAGACCAGACCAGACTTAAACAGACCAGACCAGACCAGACCAACAAATTTCAGTCCAAAAGAAAACATCCTTAATAAACGCAAAGGAATATGCTATGCTTAAAATTACTTGTGGGGCGGAATTTAGTATAATTGCAAAGAAAATTTGGTACATTTATTAGGGGTTTTAGATAAGAAAGGGATTAGTTTCGAAAATATTAATAGTAGTCTTAATTTCACCAATCAGTACTGATTTATAAGTTATAATAGGCTTAATTTAGTCAAATGTATATGTGGCATCTTCAAGAGTTTTTTTGCTGGATTTTCTAGTCTCTTTTTAGTATCTGTTCAATACTTCAATGTTAAATGCCAACATCCTTTACTGGGATGAGTTTCGAACCTGTGACCTCCTCCTTGGGAGTGTCACACTGATGCCATCGAACCACAAGGTGCTTGGCTGACATCTTCAAGAGTTAAGTATCTTAGGTGGACTTAGTGTAATACTTCCTCCGTTCCTTTTTAATTTAATTGCAACAGTCAACATTTCACGTTTGCCAATGCACAAGTTTGACCATAAATATCTTTCATTCCTTATTAGTAAAAAAATTAAAAAAATCATATTTTGAAAATTTAGAATAAGAAGAATTTAACAATATTTTTTAAAAATTTAATTTATTATACATCAATTAATAAAATGTAGTCAAAGTAGAACATGTGAATAGTGCAAAAAGTCCAATGTTGCAACTAAAAGAGAACGGAGGTAGTATTTTTTTTATCGTAAATCCAACAAATATATTAAATCAACAAAATGTTCGTCATTTGGTTGACAATACAATCAGGGGAAAAGCAGGAAACAAAACAATAAAAAGCCTTTTGTCTGCCGTCCGCCCTTGAACCAGACTTAGAATCCATCACCTCTGTAGAAGCAATAACATTCGCTAATCCTGTAATGGGCACTGAGCCAATGACTGACAAACCAGACTTCTCATCACCTGACCTAAACTCTAGAAACTTTTTACTAGGAAATAAAAACACACTCAAAACAACATGCAATTCGAAAGAAAAACACAAGCAAAATAAAACAAAATTAAACGAAAATTCATTCATCTTCTTCCAAACCCTAGACTCTCTTACACTCCATGGCGGTGGCTCGGGAGGGGGATGAGCCCGCCGTTCATCCGCCTCAATAGTCATGCTTTTGTAGTGATTGACGATATCCTCCATTGATATCCCTTGCTGTTGAACCGAACCCAAGCTCCGCCACAACTTATCCGCCTTTTCTTTATCTACCCTCGCCCCTCGATCAGAAACAATAGCGGAAGACAAGCCACGACCACCAAAGCACTGCATCTCTGATCACGTGCCTACTTGCATGACCAAAATCCACAACCGGCAGCTCTTCCTCAATGACGAAACCGGAAGAACAAAACCCTAGAGAGGGAGAGACCACCTTGTATTAATAGTAATATTGAAAAGTACCAATATTTCTTAAAACTTGTTTATGCTCTATGCATATCAAAGTATAATATGATCAATTAACAATATTTATGTCTTCTAAATGAAATTAATTAGTAAATCAATAGCATTTTGAATCAGCATGAGCACGTATATTTTTAGGAGTAATCTTTTTTTGAAGGCTATTAATTATCTATAATTAATAGCTTAATTAATATAATCATATAATGTTAATGAACATTTAATTAAGTAGTTAATAATTATGAATTTAATGGAAAAATCTGAAGATATTAATTTTAATAATTGGACTTAATAACAATTTAAATAAAATTCAATTTCAATTGAGAATAATCTACCTTTTATTTTTTGGTAGAAAATCTACCTTTTATTAGTAGTGAAGTAGATACTCAATTCTGTGAAACACCTGCACCGTACAGCTGCCTCGCCTGATCATCCTGACTTAAGGCGGGGTTCGAAAAACCGAAAACCGAAAACCGAATCAAAATAATCCGAACCGTGACCAAATAAAACCGAACCGCTAAAAAACTAAAACTTAATGTAAAAAACCGAACCGAACCATAGTAGTTTGGTTCGGTTTTGGTTTTTACCCTTCAAAACTGAACCGAACCTAACAAACCGAACTAAAATAAAATATGAAATTTTATTTGTTAAATGTAAGCATTAATCTTGATATCATCAATAATATTTGAATTTCTTGTGCTAGAGAAATAATGTTTGTACTATGTTTAGTTTAATTTTGTTTATAAATGCATTTACACATTCATTGCCCATAATAATGTAGCTATATTGATCTATTATGTCTTCTATGTATGTATGTTGCAATTTATTGCATGATTATATGTTTTTACTGGCTATTAGTAGTAATTAACTTTTATTTTTATGTAACCTACTTTTTTTTTGTAACTTAAATTTTTTATATTGATAAAACAAATAAATATTCATCTCAACTATATCACACAAGATGTATGTATTCATAAACTTTTTTCAAACTAGTCACAAATAATGTAAATTAAGATATGCCTCCCGCATACTCATATAATTAATTCAAGACATACTTGTTTATTATTATTTTCTTTATTTATTCAAGTATGCGTGCATTTTTATGTAATATGTTTGATCCCTCCAACTTTTATATCAATTTTAAATCAAATGATATTTTTTTTTAGTAAAAAACCAAAAAAATCCAAACTGAACCGAAAAATGACAATTTTAAACCACCACTTCAGCCGCTTGAGAAGTTCCCCTTCCGGCTCCCTGCCTGCGTCGGTTGCGCAATGCGCCGTGATCGGCATGTTGCTGACTCTGAGTGACTGAGTCTCTGCCTGAATGCCTCTCTGGACGCTGGTTTCCTATTTGCAGGCATGTATTTCAGTTTTTCAGTATTTTACTTTCAGTTTTGTTGTCATTTATTTAGTTCAGATTCTTTCTGGAATTTAAGGTATGGATTTTCCGATTTTCAGGAAAGGAATATCCGAATATGAGTATTCGACTTTTTTTTTTTTTTGAATTCTAACTGTTGTTTTAGTCTTTTAGATTGATGGCTTGCGGATTGCTGCCCTTGCTAAGTAGCTGCCCTTGTATTTTTTTTTGTGTTGTCTTTCACACTTTCTTGCTTTAGCCTATCTGCCAATGTACTAATTTACAATTTACATTTAGTAATAATGTAAATCTTTCTTGTGATTTTTACATATTGTTTAGTTGTTGTTAGTCTCATTGGTTTGAATTCAGGCAATGAAATCTGATTTATAGAGATACTTAAACATTGTAGAAGTAGGAGCCAATGAAGATAGCTTCCCAAGAATTATATATACTGCCCTCTAGTACAGTTGAAGAAACTTCAAATAGAAATGAAGACAAAATAACATAAATGACGACAAATCTTTTGTACTCGGCTTTGACTAAAAATCTTATTCCGATAAAACATTTACTCGTATATTATTTATTTTTGTATTTTACTTATTTGTTGGAGCAAGACCCTCTGCTAATAGAGGAGCTCCCTGATATCTGCGTGGCTTCAATCTGTTCTCACTATCCCCACTGCTATTTGATGTCTGATTCCTCCGCATAGCCACTCAAACCTTGATTCTAGCTCAGAAGGTAGAATTAATTATATTTACGGATTTACCTTTCCCATCAATAACCTCTTCCGTGTCTAATTTAGGGGTTATAATGACAGTCGAAGTTTATTTATGAATTTTTGAAGGATTTCACTTCCCGCGTATTTTCAGAACAAATATAACTTTTTTACACCTATTTTTGGAAATTCTTATAAGTTTTTTTCAAAGCTCTTAAAATCAGTCATACACAGTACACACATATCATTTAGATTTAGACTTCGTTAGAGTAATTGTTTTGAAGTGTTTTGTGCTTTTGTGTTTTTTTGGTTACACCCACTTAGCTTTGGTGTCATTGTTTTTGGAAGACTTGAAATTTGTATAATTATCCTTCTTGAACCTTCTTTTTATCATGATGTTTTGTTCCTTGAATTATTTCACACACACATTGTACAATAATAAGCTCTTTGTTTGTAGCTTATTATTGAATTCTTATTAATTTATTTGTAAACATATATTCCATAAACTACTAAAGCCAGATGTTGAATTGAAAATCAGCAGAGTGGGAAATCTAATACGATAGTACAATAGTTGCTATGTTTTTATTTTTGATATTTTACATCAACAATCTTGAAGCTTTTAAGACCAAACGTAAAGGCATTTTTTTCTTGATGAACAATGTACAATTTGTAGATTTCATATTGTTTTTTGACTCCAAGGGTTCTTTGGTGGCGCTCATTTGGCAAAACTTTGCTACTATTTATAGGGGGAGTTTATGGTGTTTTTGTGCCTCCACATTCATGGTGATGTGATATCATAGCCTAGCACATAGCTCAAGAAGCAGCTGCGTGATATCACACAGAACATGGCCGTCTTGTTTTTTCACTATTATTCATGTTTTTGTGGTTTTTTCACTAGGTTAGGGGGTATTAATTCAGTTGAATCTGTTAGGCGGGAACACTGTAGGAAATTTCTTTTGCTTTTATATAATAATAATAAATAATAAATAGGTGGAATATATTCTTCCGTTTCAAGCGTTTTAATGTTTTATATCTTGTTAGAAAGATAATATCGAGTTCTAAAACTCTTATTCAGACTTCATTTGTAAAATATTAGAGGGTTGGTATGTGCTTTATTTTCGAGCGTTTTATATCTTATCGGAAAGAGCATAACGAGTTCTAAAATCATATTCAGACTTCATTTACAACTATTAAAGGATATGTGGATCTGCGTAATTATCCCCGGAATCAAGTTTTTTTTTTGGTTATTCTAAAAAAATAACCTCCTATAGTAGGTCATATTCTATAGACTATATAGATTAATGAAAAATAAAGAGGTACTCTTTTCTAAAGTTGGTTTTCCTGTTTATTTTTTCATTTTTCATTTCATCCTCCATGTCTCTAACAGACACACAATTTTATTGCTTCAGGTTTCATTTTGGCAAAGAGAATCATGAATATCACAACACTATTCAGGAGGTTAAATATCAGAGATTTGGTATCAAGTCCATCTCTCTACAGTTGTGGCAAGGGTATGAATCTCTCATGATGTCTTATGATCCTTCAGTTGAAGGGATTTTTTAAATTGGTAGTAATGTTTACATGGAGCAGTACTTTCTTTTTCATGACTTAGATGCATCCGGAGAGGGACTGAGCTTAGTACTAAGGCGTTGGGCTACCAAGAAGACAGCAGGATCCACAAAAAATGGACGTGACTCAAAACCTAAGAATCTCGGGGTGAAGAAATTTGGCGGAGAGGTGAGAATTTAATTATGGAAAAGAATGGAGATTGATTAGATTATTGCCGACAATGTTAGGGTTGGAATGGCTCAGATCCAAGCCCTTTTTTGTGGTTTCACTTGAAATTCTCAAAATTTGTATCAGCTCCAAATAACTACTAATCAAACCTGCTGAAAGTTTTTTTAAAATAATGAAAATGTAGGTTGAGTTTTGGGTTTATCAAAATACCTCGAGCTCGAAACCTGAACCTTGTAGCGCAGTATATAATCTACAAATAACCATTTAAAACAATGGTTCGTCTTACATACTATCGGTATAATTTTGTTACTTCTGTATTTTACTGAACTTTTATAATTTTTTTACAAAGATGAAAATTTAATGAATTTTGAAATTTCGAATTTTGATAACACTGTATCTGAGATGCCCCAAAGTTTTAGGGTCGGTTTTGAGGTCTAAAATTGTGGTACGCCATACGCAACAGACACTGTCTTATCCATTTTGTCTTACCTTATGTTTTATTTTTCTTGTCTATCTTCTCGTTTTGGCTTTGATATCATGCATCGATTCATGTTAGTCGACCCCAAAATCATTTGGGAATAACGCTTGGATGCTGTTGTTGTATACCCAACACCCACCCACCATACCAGAAGATGTGTTTTGGTTGCTTAACTGCTATTTTGTTGCAGAGGGTGATTCCAGGGAATATCATTGTTCGCCAAAGAGGAACCAGATTCCATCCGGGGGATTATGTTGGAATTGGCAAAGACCACACATTGTTCACATTGAAAGAAGGGTGTGTCAAGTTTGAGCGAAACAAGCTGACTGGACGCAAGTGGGTCTATGTGTTGCCTAAAGACGGGCATGTGCTTCACCCCATATACTCATCCATGGCTTCACCTCCCGAGCTAAAGAACGCGTGCAGTGCCAGTTCATCATTTTGAATTCTTATTCCATTTGTCACATTCTTGTCCATTGTTCTTTTTTACTGCTGTATTTTGTAATTGTGATTGGAGCAGCAATGCAAGGCTGCTCTGAATTCTATTGAATAATGGCAAATTTTGCACATAATGATCAAGTAGTTATACATCATGTTTAGCTACAAGCTAAGCAAACTTAAACAACAATTGGATGGATTATATGCAAACTACACTTGATCTGAAATACTTTCAAACTTATCACTAAAATAAGAACGATGGACAAGCATGTGACCTCTATATGACTATATGTGCTGTGTGCACTTGTGCAATGACCTTTTCCTTAATGTACAGTGACCTGTGGTGATCATGTAGTTATTATTTTACCACTAACTCATGTTACAAACTTACAATAATACTCCCTCTTTCCCGGAAACAAGTTCTCACTTTTCTTATTTGGATGTTTCAAAATAAACTTCCCACTTCCTTATTTGACAAATAATCTACGTTAAAACAGTGGAAAACAGTGTCAAACAGTGCCAAACAGTGTCGAAACAGTGTCAAAGCAGTAAAATTTACCCCTAAGTAACTTTATTTTCTTAAAATGCGTGAAAGTCAACTCGGAAACTTGTTTCCGAGACTGAGGTAATATTATACTCCCTCTGTCCCACTTAAAGGTTCCCACGTATAGTAGTTTACAATGTTTGACTGATTATAAAGTTAACTAATTCTTGTAATTAATAAGATTATTTTCAGTAAATAAAATTTACCTATTTTAGAAAGTACATTAAAAGTTTTATAATACCTAGTCAAGAAAAAATAAATTTGATAAAAGTTAAATATATATACAGTAAAAGATTAAGAACAATCACGTTGATCGGAGAATAATTGACGAGATCCTTAAAATGTGACGGAGAGAGTGAAATATGGCAGTGGCATCATGTTCTTTTCAAATTTATCACCTTGTTAAATGTTAATAACATTATTGGTCGCATGTAAAAGTAGTCATTTATTTGTCAGTGCGAAAATTGCTTTTTGCACCAAAGAAAGATTTTTAATTGTACCATAGACAAAGAAAATTGTCGGTGTGAAAAATAGTTTCTTTTACAAAACGAAAAAGTTGTATGTACATTCACAATTTGTCCGACTTGAAAAATGCAATATTAGTACGTCCAAAAATGCCCAATATCAAGAATATCTCGATCATTATAGGCACCGGCCCACCACTCGACGTGGATCCAAGTATCCAACTAGGACATATCACTCCACTAAAACTTTGTTCTTCCCTTTTTGATTTGGATATTAATTTTCAATTTAGAAGAAAGTATATTATCACCTCATGATTCATGAACATCTATCTATAATAATATAAAGTAACAAGGTGTAACACCCTGCTTTTCCCTCCAATCAGGGGCGGATCCAGGATTTCATGTTGGACTGGGCTGAAAAACTTAATTTAAAAATTTTCAAAATAAGCAATATATATATATATATATATATATATATATATATATATATAAATATATATAAGAGTTCTCCACTAAATTTGTTCTCGACGAAGCTTTGAAACAAAAAAACTCGTCAATTATAGAGTCTACATCTATACTAAGAGTATGACCTTTTTCAATATAAAGTGTATTGCAATTAACAAAAAAGTCATCATCCATTTTGTCGCGGAGTGTTGTCTTTAAAAGTTTCACGGCAGAAAATGATCATTCTATTGTTGTAGTGAAAACAATAAGATCAATACAAAGCGAATCAATATGCTGATCATAACATATGAAACAGATCTTTTGCTCTTAGTCAACTGCTCACATAATTCAACAAGTGTAGATACTCGAAACTTTGTATCATGAATCACATCATGAGCATAGTGTTGTTGCTCGAATTCAAAAGCATTACTAAAACCTTCGGGATAGAACTTCCTTGCAAGAGATTACAAATAGCATCGGCATTGAATGACACATGTGAACTTTCGGGATCCAATGAAGCACTCAAAGAAAGGAGTTTGATCCATTGATTTATCATTAAACCGAGTCCTTAACTTCAACAATACAAAGTCTATTGCCTCATTGAAAACATCAAAGTGATAATGAATGCTCAACTGTAGTTTCTTTTAGGCAATGACCAACCATATATTTAGAATTCAATTTCGGTACAAGAATTTCTTTTTTGAGCAAAACTCCTTTGCTTCTTCAAGAAAGCCTTCACATCCATTTTATGTCACTTCCCCGAGAATGAGTTGTGTAGTAGAAACATGTCTCATTGCTATCAAGATATCCAATAATTGTTTGAAGGTCTTGACAAAGAATACTCGTTATATCAAAAGTGAATTGAACACAAATTCAAAACATGGAAAATGTCTATATACACTATGAACTTCTGCCCAAGAACTCACTTTTGGGCAATGTTCTTGAATATACTCAAACACTTTACAAGTTGATGTGAATCATAGTTGAATCATATTTTATTGTATTTATTACATTTATTCCTTTTGGGCTTTACGGCCCTTATACGATGTACAAAAGTGCCTCTTGTTAAGTGGGAGGTAATTCGTATAACATTTAGATTAGATTTTTAGATGGAATGATTTTGTTTTATGGGTTGGGCTGAAAAATTGGATTGGGCTATAGAAAAATTTGGGCTGGGCTGGATAGAATTTTGTGAAAATAATACCTTAAAAAAATTAATTTTTTTTAGTTTGCCCTGGGCTTCAGCCCACCATAGCCCTAACATAGATCCTCCCCTGCCTCCAATTAGACATTTAATGCTTCATACCCATTAAAAAATAAGAGTTACATGAATATTGGAGTAATTGAAATATTCTCAATTCAAAATCTATAATAATATAAAGTAACTAGGTGTAGCATCTTGCTTTTCTCTCCAATTAGACATTTAGGGCGTGTTTGGCAATCAGCGGTTAGCGGTTAGCGGATTGTGTTAGCGGATTGTAGATAGCGGATTGAATCAGCGAATTTGACCAGCGAATTAACGTGGCGGGTTGCAGAAAGATGTTTGGTAATTTAGCTGTTTAATTTTAGCGGTTAATACATAAAAAGACAAAAAAGGACATTGGCCCGTTTTGGTATGTGTTTTGTTGTTGTTTAATGCTACGTATAATTTTATAACTCAAGCATTGCTATATGCCTGATTTTTTTGTTTTATCTATATCTATATATTTTTATTTGATTTTCTCCCCTATCATAATTTTATATTGGTTTTTAATAAAAAAAATCAATTACGGTTTACCAAAAAATCGATTAAGGAGTACCACTATGAGTACTTTCTAGAGGCTCTACGCATGATGGACACGTCTCTCTTATATATGACGCATGCCTTTTTGTTGATTCAGCAGAATGAAATCGCAATTGCATATTTGCATGTTGTTCTTTTTGTTGATGCAGGATAATGAATGAATGGCCATTCTTATGTAATAGGAGGAATTATGCTTAAATTGCTCATATATTACAAATATGTGTACAGACATACCTTCAAAACAAATTGGAGCTGCGATGTTCTTCTTTGGAGCTCTGCAGTTGCGGTTATGGATACCAACGTCGAAGGAATATGGAAGGGCAGCTTTGAGAATTATTACGTATATGAAAATGCCGAAACCTAAAACGCTGGGTTTTGCAGCGTTTTAATTTTTGGCGTTTCGGCCCAAACCGCTAAATCAATCCGCTAACTACCAAACACTTAAATTCGGCTTTTTCAGGACTTCAAAACGCCAAATCCGGTCAAACCAGCCAAAAATTGGCGGAACCGCCGTTTTCCAAACACGGCCTTAATGCTTCATACCCATTAAAAAATAAGAGTTACATGAATATTGGAGTAATTGGAATATTTTTAATTCAAAATCTATTTATCTATAATCTATAATAATATAAAGGGGAAAATGGAAACTAATAATCCAACCTTTTAGCGGTCTTCCTTTAATAATCCGACCTTTTCGTTATTCATGAATAATCCAACCTTTGCACATCTTCATTCATTGGTCCCCGACCGGTTGATGACTTGCTATTCCGAGTTATTTTCTTATCTCTGCAAACTATTATACCACAAATTCCACCTTTCACAAAGATAATATTTTGCAAAGATAAGAAAATAACTTGGAATAACATGTCATCAACCGGTCAGGGACCAGTGAATGAAGATGAGGTGCAAAGGTTGGATTATTCATGAATAACAAAAAGGTGGGACTATTAAAAGAAGACCGCTAAAAGATTGGATTATTAGTTTCCATTTTCCCTAATATAAAGTAACAAAGTGTAGCACCTTCACTACTTTAATTTGAAGGTGCTACAATATTTTGATATGAATGTTTTCAATTGTAAGCTAGAACAGATCAGATTAAGTGAAACTACACCAAATCAGATCAAATTTAAATAAAATAGACTTGATCGGATCAAAATAAGTAAGTAAAATATACTTACATCCAACAACTACCAGACCAGATCGGTTTAGGTCATCAGAACAAATTTAAATGAACCTTATCATAAAACTTTAGTCTAATTAAAAACATCATAATTATTGTCTTGCAGTACAATAATAGTTATATTATTAATAATAATAGTTATATTAATAATAATCATAATAATAATAGTCTTCTAGAATAATATAAAATAACAAGGTTTAGCTTGCGTTTCCCTACAATCAGACATTTAATGATGTCATACTCATTTTCTCTAAACAATAATGTGTAAATTAATAATTAGCAATTAGTAATTATAATGTGAAAATTTTGATTTTTAAAGGTATACTATCAATTAATGTTTTTGCTTATTGGATGTTTACAAAAGACTGATCAGTAACATTTTTAGTGTTCCTCAATTGCTAAGATCCTTTGTATTTATATTCTATGAACACAAATACGTAACAAAATATTTATATATCTAATGACAAGTATTTTTGTTAGTATGAAGTGATCCAGCCTTTATCGAACTTTGTGTTCTGAAAAATCCAACCCAAAATTTTAACATATGTAAATCCAAGTTAGTTAAACTATTCATTAGATTCCCACTGTCATCTAATGACATAGTTAAACATATAACATATGCATCCCGTGCAACGCACGAGTAAAGAATCTAGTAGTTTCTATTTGAGTATATCGATAGTTATTCACTGCATAATTAAAGTAACTACTCCGTATTAGTCAAATGGTAGCATATTTCGTAATTGAAGAGCATTATACCCATGTGGTTTAAGGATGTTTTTACTTGGACTGTAATTTG